AATCCTACTTCCGTAGTGATAACTGCCTCGGAAACCCAAGGAGGGGTCGCTATGAGTCGGGGCTGACTCGACGGCACATAACAACAACAACAACACTATTACTGTGGAGTCATCTATTTGTCTTTTCAATTCTGTTAAAGTCTTATTTATGTATTGTGGGGCTCTTTTATTGAATGTGAAGATGTTTATTATGGTTATGTCCTCTTGTTCAATTGATCCTTTAATCATTATATTATGCTCTTCTTTGTGTCTTATGGTGGTTTTTGTCTTAATGTCTGTTGTTTCAGAAATTAATATTGCCACTCATGCTCTTTTTTGATTGCCATTTGATTGATATGTCTTTTTTCAACCTTTGATTTTCAGTCTATTTTTGTCTTTGTCTCTAAGGTGTGTCTCTTGTAGACAGCATATTGATGGGCTGTGTTTTCTTATCCAGTGTTCAACTCTCCGTCTCTTGAGTGGTACATTTCATCTACTGACATTCAGTGTAATTATCATCAAGTATGAATTTGTTGTCATTTTGTTACGTGTTTTTTGTAGTGTTGCTGATTTCTTTGTTCCATATGATTTTCTGTGCTGAGCTCCTTTTTATAATACATCTTGTTATCTTCTCTTTCATTGCTTTTGTTTTAGTATTTGCTAAATATTTGAGCTTGTCCTCTTTTATATTTTGATGCGAAGGTTTATTATTTTCCTTTGAGGTTACTCTATGGTTTATTATTTTCTTCCTAAGTTTAGAACAGTCTGTTTTATCTTGCAATTGTCTTGACTTCCTCACAGTTTAGAAGTTATGTAAGTATGTTAATATGCCCTCTTTTTGGTTTGTAGTTGTCCTCCTTTACCAATTGATGGCTCTTGTTCCTTGTTTGCAGTCTTGTAAGCTTATTTTACTTTGAATACTTCCATAACTTGGTTGGTTTTTGGGTTATGTCATCATGTGTGTTAATTATTGGTTGATGTTTGCTGTTTTTGGCAAAGGGCTCCCTTTAACCTCTTTTGTAAGGTTGGTCTGGTATTAAGAAATTCCCTTAATTTCTGCTTATCTGGAAATCTCCTAATTTCACCATCATATTTGAAGAAGAGTTTTGCTGGGTATATGATTCTTGGCTGGAGATTTTTTTCTTTCAGGATTTTATGTATATATCATCCCATTGCCTTCTCATCTGCATGGTTTCTGCTGAGAAATCAGAGTTTAGTCTTATCGATTGACCTTTGTAGGTAACTTTTCATTTTTCCTGTGCTGCTTTCAGGATTCTTTCTTTGTTCTTGGTTTTGGTGAGTTTGATGATGATAGATATGTCTTGGTGATTTTCTTTTGGGGTCTATCACTTTTAGGATTCGTTGAATTTCTTGAATGGATATATTCTCACTTTTCATCATATTAGGGAAATTCTCTTCCAACAAATCTTCAACAATTTTCTCTATGGTTTTATCATCTCTTTCTGTTCTGGAATTCTGATGATACATAGGTTATTCTTCTTGATGGTACCCCATATAAATCTTAGGCTTTCTTCATTTCATTTTGATCTTTTGTCTTAATAACCCCTTAACAAAGTACTATGGAGGTATTTGTCTTCAGTCCCATTAATTCTTTCTTTCCTTTATTTAATTTTACTCCTTTGCCCATCCAATGTGTTATCTATTTCTGAAATCTTAGTATTACTCTTCTGGATTTCTATTTATTGTGCTGGTATAATTTCTAATTTTTTTAAATTTTGTCAATTTGTTCATGTAGTATTTTCCTAAATTGTTCAGAGTTTTGTGTGTATTTTCCTTAATTTTGCCAGTGTTTTTGTTGACTTGTCACTTTTTCTTGATCTATCTCAACTCATTGAAGGTACCCCAATACAATTCTTTTGAATTCCTTGTCAGGGAATTCTAATGCTGCCTCTTCCTCAGGGATGTTTTCTGGGCTTGACTCCAGGTGCTTTGTTTCTTCTACTACTTTATCTTGCTTTTTTGTGTGGACTGTGATTGTCTGTTTTCTCGCAGACATTGTGGTATTGTGCATTTATGTTTAATTTTGGGTTGTATGTTGGTGTGATTCACTAAAGATTTTCTTTTTTTTCTTTGTTTTGTTTTGATATCTCTGTGTAAGCAGGTACTGTGCTCCTCTCTTTGCTAGTTGTTAGCACTTAGACACTCACCACCTGTCATCTGTTGTGTGTGATGGAGAGTGAGAATGTGTGCAAAGATCTCTGTTAACTGTTTGTAAAGAGCAGTTGAAGGTGAGTTGAGCTTGTATTAGCCACCATCTGTCGTTGGTAAGTTGGTGCAAAAACCAGTGGTGGCCCTCACTGTGTGTAGCTGTAGGAGGTGCATGTATGTTGTTTTGTTTTGCAACAGTTGCCATCTCCCACTCAGCTAGACCGAGAAAAAAAAAGAGACCTAAAAAATAAAACAAGAGAATAAAAAACATAAACTGCATAAACAAACAGAAACAATTGTAAAAAAATAAAAATGCAATTAATGAGAAGAAAAATTTTCAAAATATATTAATAAAGGATAAAAGAAAGATAGTGAAAAAAAATTGGGGGGAAAAAAGAGCCACGATATCCAGGAAGGGATGAATGAGAGGAAAGGTCAAGCTTAAAAGAATAGTAAAGAAAAAAATGAGAAAACTGCAAAAAGAAAAACAAGGGCTAGAAGAACCAAAAGGAAGAAAAAAGAATTGAACCAGGAAAAGGGGGGGGGGGAGGTAAGAAAGAAGGAAGACAAAAAGAATAATTTTAAAACAAAAACAAAACTGTGGGTTGGGACATGGCACCCAGGCCCTTTCAGGGCATAGACCAGGATGGAATTCCTGCTGTTCCAGAAGGTGAGTGGAGTCAGGGAATGGCCACATCCTTATTCACCAAGATGGTGTGAGGTATAAGAGCAACAAGGAGAATATCACACCTTTCTAGTCATCAGCCTCCATCACTATCCCCCATCCTGTTCTGGAACCTACTCTTATATTACTGTCCAGCTAAGAATGCCACTCATATATATCCATAATGGCCCTACCCGCTGCCCACAAACATTGAAAATGACTATACCCTGAGGACAGCCAGTTCACAAGTCCATTTGCCTCCTTCCCTGCTGTTTTCCTTTCTGGTTGTCAGAAACCAATGCAGTCCTTGTACTTACAGTCCTTGGTGAGCAGAGCTGATTCTCAGGTTGCTATTGAGAAGTATTCAAAATGGCTGTGTCCCCAGGACAGTGGGTACTGCTTCTGTCTGCTCACTCACTGTTTTATTCACGTTCTTTTTCTAGTTGATATTTAATCTACTTCTTTATCCTTCCCTTCAAAGCTCAGGTCGCAGGATTGTCTTTGGCATTGGTTTCAGTTGGTTTCTTGTTGCTTTGTTGCAGATGATCTGTGTAGTTTGTCTGCCTGTTTCACCATCTTGCTGAAACTACTGTTTTTGTTGTTGTTGTTATGTGCCATCGAATTGAACCCGACTCATGTCCTTAAGGATTTTTGATAGACTCTGGATTGGGACTGCATTGAATCTGTAGATTGCATTGAGTGGTATTGATCTGAGAGCATTTAAAATATTCTTTTCCTTAGCAATAAGACAGAAGGGCACATTCTCCTCACATTTTCTCCTTTTGTGTCAAAATTTTTAATTTTTGGTATGTGAAACTTTTAAATTTGAACACTAGTTCCTTGTTTAAAAAACAAACCAAACTTATTGTGTTTCTGACTCATAGCGACCCCCATTGTGTTTCTGAAGCTGTAAGTCTTTACAGAAGTAGATTGCCCCATCTTCCATCTGCATAGCAGCTGGTGGGTTTGAAGTGCTGATCTTCTGGTCAGCAGTCAAGTGTTTTATCCGCTACACCACCAGAGGTCCTTAGTTACTTGTTTAGCCCATTTAAAAAAATGACCTAAATTATAAACGTGTGATTTTATGGAATGTGAATTGTATTCCAATAAAGTTGGTTTATATATTTTTTGTTGTTGTTATGCACCGTCAAGTCAGACCTGACTCATAGCGACCCCTCCTTGGGTTGCTGAGGCAGTATCATTACGGAAGTAGATTGCCCAACTTTCCTTCCAAGGAGTGGCTGATGGGTTTGAACCACCAGCCTTCTGGTTAACAGTCAAGTGCCTTAGGCACTATGCTACCAGAGCTCCATATA